AAGATGCGGTTGCGGGTCTTAGCCTCGGTTCCACAGAGCCTGCACTTATCTTCCACCCCAATCCCCATTCGAGCAAGTCTATTAGCAGTAGACAATCTATCAAGAATAGCCATCCAGGCTATGAGGGAGTGTTTAAGAATGTCCAAAGGAAACCAGACAACCTTATGCCATTCCACCTTCTCTTTCCTTCCCCTAATCTCCTGTCATAGTCAACGAGTTGTAACCTTGTCCCAGTCCATGATCCCCGAGAACAAGGGTTGAACTTCCTTCCTTAACTTCAGAATTTTCCGTATACTCCCATAAATTCTGTTTCCACTAAGTATTCGTTATTTTAATAAAATTCTCTTGCTGAGAAAAAAAAAATCTAGACAAAACATACCTCGTAAGTTATCCATGCAATTGAAACAATCACAGCAACAGCTAGTGCATTTGAGAATTTCCTGTAGAGGTCCAACTTTTTTTTGTATTCTCTTTGCCTGGATGAAAAAGATTGACATTGATTTTTTGTTGTTGAAAAATTAGAAGGATTTTCTGGGTAAATAAAATAATAAATCATAGTTCAAGGACTTATTTGATGTTTTAGTGATCAATTTGTTACTTTTTAAACTTTAGTGGGAAAAAAAGAAAACTTACTCAAATATTAGGGATCATTTATGTAGTTTACTCTTTTTAATCTTCGGTGACTACATTTTAAGTAAATAAAAATAAAAATAACCAAGTATTATATTTTTTAAATTTAATAAAGAAAAAAATGCAAATAAAAAGTGATTAATCTTATAGCTTAGATACTTGAGGTAATTTGGGAGATGGGCTCATCGATCATCCACTGTGAATACCGAGACAAGAATCAAGGGAATCGATTGTGGTCGGGCATCTGTAAATTTTTAGTAGGAACGTTCACTTTAGTAGGACTACAGTGGAAGAAGGCCTTTCCCTTGGGATTTAAGTAAATTTTAGGTAAAAGTCGCTACATGTCCCTATACTTTTGAACACAAATTTAATATGATATTCATATTATTTTTTACTCTCAACATAGCTTTTCAACTCATAAAATAAATCTAATGTAGCACTTTGACTAATATCTTTTCGTGATTGATTGTTATAGTGATGATGTGGCATTTCACAGTTTTAACGTGACAGTCCATGGTACTGACATAATAGTCTAGGGTGACAAATTAACATAACAGGTTGGCTAAATTGGTAAGTCAAACATGGTAGATGGATTGCCACGTGAACGCTACATCAGCACCATGAACCGCCACGTCAGTATTGTAACGGTCAACAACGAAAAACGTTGGTCAAAGGATCACATTAGATTTATTTTATGTGTTGGAGGACCACATTAAAAAAATAATATTAGAATTACGTTAATTTTCTTTTAAAAGTAAAAAGCATATAACTTTTTGCCTAAATTTTATTTATGTGCAGGCCAGGCCAGGCCTGGATCTTGAGACACCCAAACAAAAGTACACACTGAAAATAAAAGAACCACCACCAAAAATCCATTGTGGGGGTTGCATCCGATGGGCATTTAGTAACGAGAGATTGGACCACTTTCTGTTTGTGGGGCGTACATCTGATCCTAACCTGACGGTGCTAATGCCTTTTGGACCATCCTAGGCTTGATTTTGTTTCTCTGAACCAATTAGGGTGGTCCTGAGGTTTTAATAAACAATGCAATGCAGTTGTACGTAAGGCTGGGAATTGTGGGTGTTAACTGTTATGGGACTTCTTTTTTTTTTTTCTGGGGGAACTCACTGCTTTCTGTACAAACTTAGTACTGAATGATGTAGTTAAAGTTCCTCGCTGTCTACCACCACTCCCTATTTGATTTCTGTCAACTGCTAGATCTTGTACAATTGTAGGGCTTTAATTGGTTTCCATCATCAGTTGCAGGAATCTCCTCTTCATATATTTATTCGTTCAAAGAGTTCGTGTATAAAGCCCAGTAAATAAGGAACATTGAAACAAAATGAGAATTTTAAGCCCAGGACAGAGGCCCTGGGTTGAATGTGAACATTTTCATGCCATACAATATGTATTTGGTGCATCTGAACAGGCTAAACAACGAGATGTAGAAGACAGACTTGCTAAATACCAAGCCTTTTTTGAAGGATATGATGCATGAAGCAGGGTCATCATGCTATCTCCATCATCATTTTCAAGGTTCTCTAAGTAATCGGCATCGTCAACATATTCTGTGATCATAGTTAAATCCTTTATATATCTATCAGCTTGTACCAAGAAGCTGCCAAAGGTCAAACATCATTTGCTAGCTAGCTTTTAAAGGAGCTTAATAAGAATGATATATTCAAAAATATTTTTTAGGATAGATATATATATATATATATATATATATATATATATATATTATCAACACAATTTTTATACGAGTGGACACATGCTCACTCTAAGTACATTGCGGATCCGCCATTGCGATCTATAAACTATCTTTACTTTGAGGTGCTGATGCCAATCTTAAAAAGAAATCTGTTGATATAAATTAGAGAACCACAATTATTCATACAGATGCTGATGCCAATGTTACAACCAAAAATAAGCTAAAAAAGGGGGAAAATGGTCCAAAGTCACATGTTTATTCATATGACTAACAACCTCTTCGACATATACAAATCTATCTTGATAGTTTGGAAATAAAGTAGTTAGTGAATGGCATTGGAATTAAAAAGTTCATTATCCGACAGCTGTAATCAAATATACAAATTATCTTTTTTTCCAAGGGACTAAATTTTTTCCCTTTTAGCACGGACTACTTTATAATCACATTTGTCATAACCATTTTTTTTATGAATAAATTAATTTTAAAAATAATTATAATTTTATTTTGCTAAATTTGGATTTGTTTTAATTTAAAAATTTGAAGTCGCTATTCACTTTTGAATTAAGTAAGTTGAATACATATCTAACCCAAAAAGGGTCTCTTCGCCTTGATTAATAATTCGGACTACGTTAATTCAAAAAGGGTCCCTAGAGTCTTATATCTGAGAAGATCTCTTTGTTTTTTTATTCTCCAGAGAAAAAACGATGGAGATAAGTTCTCTCCCTTTTTTCGCTTATGCTTTTCTCCACTCTTTTTTTCATCGGATTCCCCCCGATTCTTTCCCCTTGTTCGAATCGTTCTCTTCTTCTTTTATGGTGATAAATTTTTTGCTTTTTTACTGTAGGTAATGATGGAAATGACCATCCAACTCAGTTGGTAGAGCACGAGGTTCTTAATCTTGAGGTTGTGGGATCGAGTCCCATGGAGGGTATTTCATAATTTGGAGGTCTCCTATGGAAGCTGCAACTCAACCTAGTGTTGGGGGCAGCTTACTATCTTACTTCCCCCTTACCCCATTATATATGGGAACAAGGGACAACCACTGTAGGTAATGATGAACAGAGGTGGCGGTAGGCTAGGGTTAGACTAGGTTACAAAAGTTAGAGTTTGGTGTAGTTTAGGCCATTTGGTTTGGGTTTTTGTAACCTACAAACAAAATAATAATAAATAAAACCCCGGACAAAAACGGACGTGATCAAATGGTAATGTATATTTGGGAATTGGTTGTGTGTTTTTGATTGGTCAGTTGTTGAAGTATTGGTTTACTTAAATATAATAATCTCTCGAAGAGGATTTCATTTGAAAAGAAAATTGTGCTCATAACCGGCAAAAGAAATAGTTTGTGTGTAAAAGCAATGGTATTTTATAAATAAGATTACAAATGTCTTAAGAGTTTGTGGAATTGCTCGTCTAATCTTGCGGTCGTGGGATCGAGTTCCAGTGAGGACAATTCATAACGGAGGTCTTTTACGGAAACTGCTCTCAATCTGATGTTGGGGGCAGCCTACTACCCTACCTCCCCCTTACCCCATTACATATGGGAGTAGAGTCAGCTAATTACATCAGATTGTAACATGCCTCATTTGCATTTCAAGCCAATAGTAGCATCACTAAGGACATAATGGAAATATTGGTGCCCTCAAATATTGCATCATTGGATTTATGCAACTGGGGCTCTTGGGGGCATTACAAGCAGAGCCCTTACAATATGGGCTGCCACTCAGGGAATTTATACATCTAGTTAGGTAAAGCACAGCGAAGTGTATCTCTGTTTTTGGACCTCAAATATTCGATTTTTTCGGATCAAATATAGATCGTAATTTTAAATATCTAGAAATATACATCTTTAAGTTTTCTAAGTGTATCGGAGGATATTTCGATCTACATATTCAAATATATAGAAAGACATTAGCCCATTTTACAACCATTTTCTCTTTCTTACTCCAGTAAGATGAGATCTCATCGAGGCTGGTCTCCCGACTCTCCTCCATGAATCACATCTCATCCATATGCCTGCACATGCTTCCTTCACCTCAACTGCTGAACCGGGTAAACCAAGTAATTTATAAAATATAACTTATTATTTATTCCTTGATCTATTTTTTTAATAATCGATGAATACATGTCAACTATTAAAAATTTTAAAATGATTCCCTAACTATTCATATGTTTTAAATTCGTCATTTTTTGTTAAGAGCTTAGTGATCGTTTGAGTTGGATGTTAAGATGCTGACTGGGATATGACAGTCTTTTGAGATTTCGGATCATATTTTATCATATCTCAATCAACAGCTTAACGTCTAACTCAAACTACAATCAAGTTTTTAAAAGAAAATGACGAGTTTAGAATGTATGAATAGTCAGATGATCATTTTGTTATTTTTAATAGTCAGTGAATTAATAAAACAATGGCTTATAATTAAAAGACCAATTTATAATTTCCAATAGTTTTAAAAAATACCTTTTAAAACTCGGCCTCTTCCTCTGTGAGCCAACTCGCCATCTTACAAAGCAGGTGGGCCCCACTATTTAACGTGGCATCACTGTGGAAGCGAGTACCTCTTCCTCTTAAAACTCCAGAGAGTTCAATTCCCACATAAAAACAGACAGCTTCTCTCTCTCTCTTGTCCCTTCAATTAAGTAAAGAGGATTGCTTTCAAAATTACATCTTTTTCATCTGATAAAAAAAAAACTCAACAAATGGAGAAATTGCCTTGCGACATATGCCTCAAGATTTTCTGTTTCTTGGATCATCACAACCTTGCCTCTGCTCTTCAAGGTTAGCCATCCCCCAAAGCCTTTATTTCTCTTCTTTTGTGGGTTTAGTTTGCTTTTCTCTTCTTGTTTTTAGTTGTCCTCTCGGATCATACACCTGATTTTGACGGTGAGCTCAATTCAGTGGGAATTTTCTGCATGACTCGAATTCTATGCTTAGCTGATATCAAACTGCTTACCGCCTAAACCAAGTCTTTATGTTTTTAGATCAAATTAAGATGAGATCTCTGCTTAATTTCCCCAATTCCTCCCCCTTAATTGCCCTTTTTAGTGTCTAAATAGAATTGAGCTGCATTTCTTGAATTCTGCACTTAATAATTCCAGAATTGTGTGATCAATGGACGAGTTTTCTTGTTTACATTCTCATTATGAAATTAAATAGGGTTACATCGTGTGGTACTTAAGCCTTTGCAATTTGGAATTGAAAAGTTTGCAGGAAATGGAAAGCGTTGGGTTCGGATAACTTACTATGGTCTAACCTGTTCAAAGACAGATGGGGAGTCGATCAAGCTGCATTCTATGCCCCTGATCCTATGCATTCCACATCATGGAAAGATGTTTACGAAACACAAGACCGATGTGATCGGGTCGGATTGTAAGTTACACAACACAACCCCTTTGATCGATTTACATAGCTATCGCAATTCGAACAGTGATGATTGTGTTGTGGTTGAAACATGTTGGTAGGGGGCTGAAGATAATCAGAGAAGGTGGGGATTACTTTCTTGTACATCAAGGCAAAATCCAACGGTATCTGGGTTCGAGGTTGAAGAGGAAAGGGGCGGAAGACTGCGAGTCGAGCACATCGGGACAAGAGGTAAACGTCGAGGAACCGTGTCGAGGGATTCTGGACAAGATCCTGTTTTTCTTGGGGGATCTTGAAGCTGCATCTGATGGTGCCAAACGTGGTAGGGTGCTGTGAACACTAATCTCGGAAGGTCAAACGGTTTGGGGTTATAATGTGATATTGTTGTATATGTACGTTTTAGTTGTATGATGAATAAACCATGATATGAATATGGTAAATAATGCTATTGGTATGTTTCTTTTCAGTTCACGTTGATCTATATCGGTTTCTCTTCTTTAGCATCTTCAATTCATTGTGGAATGTTAAACCAATCTTTTTACTACTTGAAAAGACGGTTAAATCTACGAGATAATGTGTTGGAATTATTTATTTCACGAGATAACGTTTTCCCAAGATTAATTGTTGAAGTAGGGCGAATTGCACAGTGTTGGCCGTAGGTCGCCATGCCTTCCGGGCGACCTACGATGTGGCAGCTTTCGACGAGGGAATGATCGTGTGCATGGGACATGCACAACCCAACCCATAGGTCGCCATGCACTCCCAGCGACCTCCTAGGTCGCCATGCACTCCGGGCGATCAAGGAGGTTGCCATGCATGCCCGGCGACCAAGCTTTTAACCCTTGCACGCCCTACATGTCATAGCTGGGAGATTCCTGCCCGACGACCAAGCTTTAACCCTCTACTCCCTCATGCATGCGTTGCATCCATAGAGCGGGACATGCAGAAATATCACATGGCCATGCAAGGAGACAAGGTCACCGGGCGTGCATGGCGACCTCCTTGGTCGCCCGGAATGCATGGCGACCTAGGAGGTCGCTGGGAGTGCATGGTGACCTATGGGTTGGGTTGTGCATAAGCTGCCACGTCGTAGGTCGCCCGGAAGGCATGGCGAACTACGACCAACACTGTGCAATTCGCCTTAGTTTAGCAATTAATCTTGGGAGAACGTTATCTCGTGAAATAAATAATTCCAACACATTATCTCGTAGATTTAGCCTTGAAAAGACTCATAAGTTCAACCGTTTTCTTCAACTATCTATATAAGACTCATGTACTCGATTAAACCAATCTCGAGTCGAAGCTGTAACTGAATCATGCAGGATCATATGTCATGGGTCATTACCATGCTCCCAAAAGACATCCTCCAGGACCTCCATTTTTTCATTTTTGATGTGGGATTCATGTAGCACCTCTCCAAGGCGTGACGCCCTCGTCACAGGTATCCATCATGCCTACCTCACCTACTGTAGCACTCCATGTGAAGCCAGACAATTAAAAAATCACTCCGATATCATTTGTCATGGGTTCATTACAGGATGTGCAGTTCCGTCATTTATAAATTTCATGATCTCTCTTTTTCCTTTCCAATGTTGGATTCATATCCCCATCTCCAAAGTGACACATACAAGGTCATTATAGACCTTCCAAAGAAACAGTCACCATGTTCAGGTCGTGTTGACCCTAAGCTTCAAGGGTTTACAAAAGTGCCTCATTGCAGTTAATTCATTTGTTCTTTAATTGATGGAATGTCAAGTTTAAATGCGTGTGATTATGCTCCAAGATCCATGCTCGTCAGCCAGGCAATCGGAACTGCCATTGGCTTTGTTGTTGCTCCTCTTACATTCTTTCTTTTCTACATGGCTTTCGATGTGGGGAACCCTGATGGTGAATACAAAGCTCCATATGCTCTAATCTATCGAAACATGGCGATTCTAGGTGTGTGTTGAAGGCTCTTCGGCACTACCCCACCACTGTTTGCAGCTCTGCTATGGGTTCTTTGCCTTTGCCATAGCAACCAACTTGTTGAGAGATTTTAATCCCAAACACATTGGAAAATTCGTTCCACTTCCAATGGTAATGGCCGTGCCTTTCCTTGTAGGTGCATACTTTGCCATCGACGTGTGTGTGGGGAGTTTGGTCGTGTTCGCATGGCACAGGCTCAATGGCAAGAAGGCTGGTTTGATGGTTCCCGCCGTCGCGTCCGGCTTGATCTGCGGAAACGGTTTGTGGCTTCTTCCGTCATCTATTCTTGCTCTGCTTAAGGTCCGTCCTCCGATCTGCATGAACTTCTTCGCATCGCCATAGACGTTGTTCGGAGGACATACATACAGGGGTAGATTGCAGAGGGTTTGTTAGCTACATTTAACAAAATATCGAATGTAGTACAGTTCGAAATGCGCCACGGATTTCTCACCCGTACAATATCCGATACACAAGCTGTCTTCAGATTGGTCAAATGCAACATTTGAGACATACATATGTAGCTGCTCTAATGTAACATACCTTTTAATCTAGGCAGGAATAGTTTTGTTTTGATGTATGTCTGTATTTCTTAGTTATTGGTAATATATACATGGTTCTAGTAGGTGTGTTTCTCAACGAGGATTTTCTGCCTACACAAAATTTCGAACTCGAGACTTGATTAAATAATATTAAACTACTTACCACTTGAACCGATCCTCGTTGGTAGTATATATTACAAGGATAATTACATTATTATAAAAATATTTATTTAGTAGAGAAATATTAAAATTAATTTTTCTACTTTTAATTATAAAATATAGATATATTTTTTACTCTTAATCAAATCAACTTCCCTATTTTCCTTAATTTTATATTAATTTATATCATCATTAATATAAATCAAATCAAATTCAGATATCAACAACCAGTTGGTCTAGTGGGATGAGTCACTAAATCCTTTAATTAATGTCAGGAGTTCGAATCATGATGATTGTGAATAGAGCAAATTAGGTTGAAAGAGTTATCCTCACCTCTACAGTACTTGATCTAGATTAGTTGATTGAATTCCGTGTTTATATAAAAAAAAATCAGCCGTTGTTGAAGTCCTTGGTTTGGTGTGTTTTAAAGTGAGATACTTTAAAATATAGCAACCGATATGGAATTGGAACATTTTTGGTACCGTCAACGTTGAAAAACAAAGGCATTATTTATTGGGTAAATTACATGTATAGCTACTAAATCATAAAGTGGTTTATTTTGACCATCGAATAATGAATTTTATCAATAGATCACTACTTATCTATTAAAATAATTTCAATAAAGCCACTAATGAAAAATATTGACATGGTGACAAAAAAAAATTTGTACGGTTTTGCATTTGATTCTCGTTACTCGTATATTCTATCAATTTAATTTAATAAATTTATTTTTCTAATTAAATGTGTGATGTAGCATGGGAAGAAGCCTAACCACTAAATCAAATTTTATTGGTCGGTTTGTCTCGACCTCTTGAGTCTAAATTTGCTGGTTGTTTCACCAGAATATGTCCCAAAATTCATGAATATCGATTCAATTTTTTCGGCTTCCTCGCTTTTAATCTCCAATTCGCGGACTTTGAAACAAGTTTCGACAAAACAGAGGTCGGATTTGGACTTAAGGTATCAAGGCGAAGCACCCATGAAATTTGGGTTCGGGCATCAACAATGTCAAGGACATGAGCATTTAATATTAAATAATTAAGAATTATTTATATTTTTATAACACGACTCGAATTTAAAACCTTTTCGAGTTTATGAAATTTAACTTAAAGTCCATTCAAATCGAGTTTTTTCAAGTTGAATTGAAAAAAAAATCGATTATTTGAGTTTGATTGAATATTGCTCACCCCTAACAACATGAAATCAAACTATTGAAAGACCATCAACAATCACAAATAAGAGTTGAACGTCGTAAGAAAATATCTCTTACTGCAAATCGCGTATTCAAATCTAACTTGAGGGGTCCAAGCTTTGGAAGATGAGCATAATAACAAATAAATATCATCTTGATTACGTCATCTAATCTAAAGTAAATTTAATTAGTGTTTTTTATTAGAGGTTAAGTCTTGAATTTATATATATATTATCACTTTTGTAACGTGAGATAAGTATTTGTTTCAATGTAATTCTATAAATAACTTCATTTTAACTTCACCAAAACTCTTATTACTAACAGTTAAAAGTTAGGGTAAAGTACACGCATGGTTCCTTGACTGTAGCATATTATTTTATTAAGTCCATTAATTATTAAAAGTTACAAAATGATCCTTTAATTATAGATCGTTTCTTTGTTGAGCTCCTCGTCTATTAAAAGTTACAAAATGGTCACCAAACTATTCATTATGTTCTAAACTCGTCTTTCTCTGTTAAAAATTTGACGGTATTCAGAGTTGAACGTTAACTACTGACTCTGATACGATGAAATATAATCTCATAATCTCAAATGACTATTATATCTTAGTCATTATGTTAACGTCCAGATTAGACAACCGTCAATTTTTTCACAGAAAATGATGAGTTTGGAACATAATGAATAGTCGAGTGATTATTTTTTGTAACTTTTAATAGTTGAAAGACTTAACAAAGAAACATTTTATAGTTAGATGATCATTCTATAACTTTTAATAGTCGAATGACTTAATATCCTAATAGTCAAGGGACTATTTGTATATTTCACCCTAAAAGTTAAGAGATTTAAATAAAAATTAAATGTAAAGTTATTAAATTAACAACATTAAGTGTCTCATTTATTAGAATTTAATAAAATAATAACGTAAGGGATCGAATATAATTTTTTTAAATTTAGTAAGTAAAATTGTACAAAAATATGCGAGTATTTTTATAATTTACACAATTAAATTCAAAGATAAACAAATGAGAAAAAGACAAGGACGAGTTTATCAAGAAGAACTCCCCCAAGTCCCCTCGGTCAATGAGATTCCTCTGTTTGTTTATTACCTCAAGACTTTCAACTATATATTCATTTGAAGGCCTTTTTTGATTTTGCAGGCTCCTCTTGTTTACTTGCGAGGGATTAGGGTTGATAGCTTTATTTCTGGTATTTCTATGCACCATGAACTTAAAGATTTTTTGGATTGGGATTGTTGTTGGTGGGGTTATAAAAGTTTTGGTGTTTTGTTTGATTGGCAGCGGCGAGGCAAAATGGCTCCAGATGCAAAGATGCACAGTTTTGAAGAGGTTGCAAAGCACAACAAGATCAAAGATTGCTGGCTCATCATTTCTGGGAAGGTCTGATCTTTCTTTTATTTGATCCGGATGGTTTGACTGTTTTTGTTTGATTATTGATTGTTGAGTGCTTCTGGTCATCTTTCAATTGCAAGTTTCCAAAGCCAAAAGTGTGATTTTGTGTGGGAATGAGTGATTAATCAGCTTTGTCTCTGCAACTTTTTCCTGACAAATGGGGATTGTTTAAATACTCTCAACCATTTGAAAATGAATGTTCATACACCTATTAGTGATTGAACTCGGGCTATGTTTGAAAATGAATGTTCATACACCTATTAGTGTTTGAACTCGGGCTATGATATTCTTTTGTCATTGAGATCGCTTGATTGGTGTTGTTTCTGCAACTCTTAGATTATGCTTGCTTGCCATAGTATATATAATTGAGATTTCCCTGTAATAGGTGTATGATGTAACTCCATTCATGGATGAACATCCAGGAGGCGGTGAAGTCTTGCTTTCAGCCACTGGTAATCTTTTGATTAAATTTATTCAGTTAAGCCATAATCTGGTGTGGGGGAAAATAATGATGGGTATTGGGGTGTTGTAACAGGGAAGGATGGCACAAATGATTTTGAAGATATAGGGCACAGTGATGATGCACGAGACATGATGGAAAAGTACTACATAGGGGAGATTGATTCAAGCACCGTCCCCAACAAGCGCACCTACATTCCCCCACAGCAAACCCCTTACAACCCCAACGCCAAGGCCTCTGAATTTGTCATTAAGATCCTTCAATTTCTAGTGCCCCTCCTCATCCTCGGCTTGGCTGTTACAGTTCGCCAATACACTAAAAAGGACTAGGAACTAGGAAGGAATTGCTACTTTCATCTTTTTACTTTAAAACTCTCATGTGTTGTTTATTTTCCTTTTTAGTGTTCAACCCAATTCTGGGTTCATCACATGTTCTTTGTCCAAAGATTATGAATGTTTTGAACCCTTCTTTTGAAGTTAAACTCAAATACCAAGGCATCCAATATTACATTGTTTTTAATACACTCTGGTTCATCATGAAAAAAACCAGAGGATTGGTTCTCGATAAAGCCCAATGAGAGTGAATGAGCAATCCGGTTTCCTCCCTATTCATGTCATGAACTTTGAAGGTTGGGGATCTAGCGAGTGCCGTGCGCACCTCGTGCATGAATCCAATCAACCGAAATGTCCTGTTGTGGATTTCTCAATCTATTAATGACGGAGAAAGCATCCCCTCAAAGATCACTTAGTCCCATCCCTTCTCGATTGCCACGGAGAAATGTCTTGTTTTGATGTTTTCAAAACTATTCCATGCAAGGAGGCTAAAAAGAGTTAAAAGACATTAGAGGTAGACTTCATGAAACATTCTCTTGCAATGGGGAATAGTGGACTGCATATTTATAGACTAAATAAATAAGCATTTTCTCAATTATTGTCACTGCATCCTTAGCCATGACAAGATAAGCACACACAACATTTTAAGTTGTGCATCACAAGGGAGACATGAATATTCAAAGAACCCAGATTCAAGAACGAGACAAATATGGCGATGATCAAAAGGATGACTCTATCTTGTCATGAAGATTCACAACCAAGTCATGAGCATCACTTAGGAGTTTCCATACGTCCAGTTGTCCCGACATACTATTGCACTCCCTTAAAATCTCGTCCATGCTGCTGTACTTCTCTATGATCAATTTCCTCCTCTGCAACACTAATGCTGCAATCGCATAAAGCAATAAATCATCTGTAGGGGGTGCCCTCTGTCTTATTTTGCTCCAGGCCGACTTCCCTATCCCAGCTCTAATGGCTGCCTGATCTGCCCACATGACCTCCCAAAGGCAAATTGTCTGTTCAAATGTCAATTCCCTTCTAAATAGTACCACCACCATCCTATAAACAAAAAAGCAATCCTCAGCCTGGAGCTTCTCCAAATGCCTGTAGAGGTGAGAGTTCTTGCATTTGATTATCTTGGAAACAATATTAAGTTGCCTTCTGATTCCCACCTCATCCAGCCTAAAATTATGTCGAGCTTTCTTCATGAAGCCTACAAAACACCAGAATGCCTCATAATCCTCGGGGATGACAGAAATTATTGGAGAAAGGAGATCACTCATTCCCTGGCAGTAGCCAATTTCAGGGTCATAAACCGCATAAGCTTCAAGGATAGCAACCAAACGCGCAGCATGGAAAATTCTGTAGGGCTCCAGGTGATCATAATCCTTTAACCCAACAGCCTCAGCTGAACGACGTGCCCTCCCTTCTGATATGGCAACTTGACAAGCATAGTATGGCATCCATTCAGCATTGGCACGAACGGCATCCACACGAATGATGCGTTTCCAGGTGGAAAAATCTTCAGCAGCACGTAGTTCAGATAACCCTTCAGTGCTTGAGGAAGAAACATTCCTTTTAGAAGACATGTTAGGATCATTACCCTCCCTGCTGTACAAAGAGGGGGAACCCTGAATCACTTCGGGGTCTTCTGAGGAGTCAGAGTCTGATGACTCACTGTTTAGTGCTGACACATCAGCATTTGTTATTCTTCTTGAACTGTCATCTCCTTGCAACAGTGTACTGGATGCTTCATCTGAGTATTCAGCATCTGGACTCCTTTCCTCACTAGACAGAGATTCTCTAGCACTAACCACATCTTCGGAGCTAGATGCATTTGTCTCCCGGATAAGACTTCCACTGTCTCCATTTTGACAAGTTCCGCCTATTTCAGTTAACTTAGAACTTCCACTGCTGTGTTTTAAGAGCCGCCGACAATCTCTCCGTAGTTTTTCATATTCTTTCCTGAATCAAGAAATTGACAAAAAAGAAGAATAAACTAAAGAGGTACTTTTCAATAACAATCAACTTATATAGCTCAAAGGAACAACAAAGTAACAAATATGGGGAAGATAATGGGAAATGTACCTTTTCTGAGTTCTAATGGCATTTCTTTCTTCTTTGGAACTGTTTAAATCATAGCTGTCGCAGAGGAAAAGGAAAAAAAAAACATCATGGTATGAGTTGCCAAACCCATGGCTCAAGAGTAGCTAAAATGTTCCACTGAGTTTCATGATGCCATGGCTTGAGAAAGAGTAAGAGAACAACAACAGAAACAGCAGCAACCACAATAAAAAAATTGTAACAAAGATTATGTGTGCTTACACTCCAAGGATGAAGGGCCAGACCTCAGCCCTAATACTTCGGTCAACACCCTATATCAGTAACATACAAGATTAAGCAAACCAATTACAAAAAACCAAATCAAAGAGGAAATGAATTGGTTAGTCACAGCAGTAACTCACTCTACTGCGAACTTTCTTCAAGAACTTCACTCCACCATCGCGTAGTCTACCGTCTGGTGTAAAGAAATCTCTCCACTGCTGTGGTGAAAGGGCACGTTTCTTTCGGCGGCGAGACCAGGGTGATTTGAGTCGAACACTGAAAAAGAAAGGTTAAATTTTCAACGGGTGATGAGAAGCTAATGAAAATATGCCAAGAACATGTGATTTGTACAGGACAAAAACAAATTTCTGTAAGCAAAAATTCGAGTATCTAAGCAACAGTTAAGAGAACCAATATATAAAGGGAGGTTCAAGGAGAACAGTAATAATTAAGCTTGCCACAAAGGTATGTTGGGTTGTTTCAGCAATCATTATTAGGCTGCCCACTCTTCACTCATCAAGCTTAGCACAACTCTCATGAGCAAAGAGTACTTCCTTACAGAAATGAAGGTCCACCAAGAAAATTAATGTTTCAATTCTATTTAGCTTAGGAGATAAGCAATGGGCAGGAGGGTCTGTTATGGACCTTGCTGGTAGAAAACTAGAATGTCAGTTCTGATGACCAGATTTCAATCCAAAACAGCCTCAAATACCGAACATAAATACACCAGCTCCAGTTATATGAATCGTAACACCTACTTTCATCTCTTCATTTCTTCATCCAGTCAAACAAAACCTAACAGTCGGAAGTCAGGATTCTTCCTGGAGAAAAGAAAACTCTTTTCATCCAAGGGAGAGAAAAAATCTCATTTCACATCATAATAATAAAGTCCTCCCAAATATCCATGTTTTATTTTATTGTGTGTGTTAACAATAATCAAATATTGCAACTTTAAACTTTAATGAGTCTATTAACATGATAATACATGATATATCCTAGCTAATTGAAGCAGATATAAAAGCAAGCTTAGTCAATAACAAGAAAACAGCGCCATATCAAAACAGATACAGCAAATAAGTATTAGAATTTGAATAAAAAACGGAAACAATGGACCAACAGAGGCCGAAACATCTAAGAATGGAAAAGCAGAAACCCTAATTAACAAAAATTAATGCCTAAAATGGAGAAGGAAGAATCCAAATTTAAGCAAACAAGGAAACAAAGGGGGGAAATCCGTGACCGGAGATCGGATCTGAATAAAAATATCTAACAAGACATTAGAGGAAATGAGCAACTATTGTAGGAAAAGAGGAAGAGGACTCACCGATCAGAGGAAGAACAGGAAGCCGGCGAAGAAGAAGTAACGACAAAAAGAACCGAACGCAAATGAATCCACGACGACGAAGAAGACGAAGACGATGAGGTCGAGTTCGGAGAAGAAGAGGAAGTCAGCTGGCTTCGTCTAAGAGGTCTCATCTATTAGAACTCGAATTTTTACCGTATCGTCACTGGTGCTTTTGGAGATTTTTACCCTTCAGCGTTGATCAACCAGTTTTTCTTTTCTTTTCGCTAGGCATATAAAACGGCAGCGAAGACAACGGCGGTAGCAGAGGGCGGCATCGCTCCAAGCGAAGAAAACCCGCGTCCTCCTCCTCCGGCGAAATGTAGGATTCCGGTACGGTGATTGTTGGGTGATGATGGTCCAGCTGCCTGCCCTTTTCCTTTATCGTAATCTCTAAATGGAGGGTTTCTGTTTTGTTTGTTGCTTTAATTGCTGCTGCTTTCCCAAAAGCTGATCGCTCCCAACTGAAACCCAACTGCTCTTCCTTCTCTCACTTCTTCAGCTTTAGCCATTCACTTTTGTCTCTCTCTCTCCCTTCCCCCAAACAGTCTTTTCCCTTTGTCTCTCTCTAGACTCTAACCTATAGCTTTATTAGAAATATTGCAGATCCAGACTTATTCGACAAATAAAAAAATAAAGTGCTCTGCTTCTTGAAGCCTTTTTTTTAAAGAATTTCCTCCCCTTTGTTTTATTAATTGTATAAATAACGCTTAATATTATTTTTAATATATAAATTATACTTCAAAATATAATTTGATAAGTGTCTAATCTTTCCCGTTATACTTTCAGTATTTTTTCAATTTTTATCTGCCTATCATTATATTTTTTATTTTTTAATAATAAAAATATTATTTTAAAAAAAAGAAAAAAATAAACCCGTTAAGTTTTGTTCGGAGCAAGACAAAGAACTCAACAATGGTGGCAGTGTTACTTACGAACGATTGTAGTTATCGAAATCATTGAAAAACAATAACGAAAAAAACTACAAAACCGATGAACTTTGCGACATGTATCACTACGATCGGCGCAGTTTCACGGTCAGTGAGGGACTGTGTTTTGATCACGGTGAAGAGACGATTCTGATGGTGTCAATGGTGACAGTCGCGGACCGACGATGGTTGATTGACAACATAATATGTAAAATTTGGAGTGTTTTAATTATAATAATAATTTTTAAAATAAAATAATTTTTAAATTTTATATGCGTTGGATGAAGGTTAAATTTAACGTCGTTACGGTCTATACATATAGCGTTTAAAACTTTAGATATCTATTATTAGCAAACCAATTATTTAGGCTCCAAATCATTTTTTATGTATAGTTTAGGCATTAAAAAGGAGTATAATAAACCTAATTAGAATAATGGTTTTTATTATGCAATATTACTTAGGATAATAATGGATTGAGAGGGTAGTCAGATATAGACTTATTCAATGATATAATTTAGGCTAAAAAGATTATAGGAAATATAAGTATTAAAAAATAATTTGAAACCTAATTCATTTGTTATAATATATTTAAAATTTATCGTGTAATAAGTATTGTAAAAATAATAAATAATTAGAATTTATCATGTAGATATGATGAGTCTCATACAATTTTCATTCGCTGAAATGGTAAGTTTTAATTTATGTTATATGTTATAAAACTCGTCATATTTGCATAATGATATCTTCGTGTATTGTAACAAATGACATATATCCTAAATTAATTATCTGACAATTATATTTTTCCTAATTTTTTTTGCTCATATTTCCAGATTTTACTGGTTTGATACAATATTTTTTAAATAAATACATTTTTATAATTTAAATATAATTTTATATTTTTATTGAAAAGCTTTTAAAATTTGATAAATTTATATCTACCATAAAGTTTTATGTTCCGAACCCAAAGTGTTATTATTATGTGTGAATAATTTTTTAGTTAATAATTATTTATGAGTAGGAGAAAGGGTCAAATTTTGACAACAATTAGAAGTGTTTTACCTAACCAAGTTTTTAACTAAAGTTTTAATTGTGTATTCAAATATTCCCATCCCGTTTGTGTGATGCGAATAATAAACAAAATTAGGTGTAGATTTCTATTTATTTACTATTATTAAAAAACATTTGAAGAGAACCATCGAAGGTGTACATTTGATCATGATTTTGTCCTAATTTTGGATGTCAATCGCATCATTAAACAGCTCAAGCAAAGGGGTTATCATCAACTCTTCAAATCTCTAAGTGATTTGTTTTTATTTGGTTGTAATCTCGGTTTCAAGGCTTCATCTTGATTAATGCAGATCGACTCACGTTGCACGTTGAGTCTCCCAGTAAGAATTTTATGTTAACCTCTATTGTAAGATATTTTTTATTTGATCATCTGATTATGAAAAGTTATAAAATAATCATCTGAGCTAAAAAAATATAAGTTGGTCATTTAAAAACTTAACAAGACATGATGTTAATAATTAATAAAATTAGTATAATGATCAGTCAATGGTAACTTTTAAAAGGAAAAAAACAATGTAATTCTGAACTTATTTTGTATCCAATTTGGCCCCTAGTTTGAGGGGGAAAATAACTTAATCCTTTGACTAAATAAATATAAAATTGAGAGGTACGATGACAACATATGATACTAACGTGAGAGTCCATATATAATGATATGTAATTTAGTTTTAGAAAATTTGATCCTTAATTGATTTTTCATTAAAAGTTCAAATAGGTTGTTTAGCTTTTAAGAAAAATAAAAAGATTAATAAATGTTTTTAAAATTAAAATATTTCAATATTTAAAAAATAAATTAAAAGATGCTAAAATAAAATTTAAATTATTAAAAGATACTAAAACACTATTGAGATAATATATAAATTTAAAATATTACAAATATTAATCATTTTTTAATAGAGAAAAGGTTTTTGATTTTCTCTCTTCATTCTCGGTGTATTTCTACTTGTAACAAATTTAAAATCTAAGATGTCATATAAGACTATCGAGATAATTAATAAATTTAAAAACTCTAAAATTTTAATAGAATGTATTCAACCCTCTTTAAAGATCATAGTGTAAATTAAAATCGAACTAATAATATACTTTACATATCAAAATAATAGTAAGGTACTATGAATATATATGTTCGTCAATGTTAGTCGGATATTGTACTTTGAAGGCAGGTGTTGAAAATCCCTTAACCGTGACGCTTCTATGACATTAACAAAATCTACTCATTTATAAACGAAAACATTTGAACGTTGATATTCATGTAGCTCAATGGAACACATCCGCTCTACTAAAATTCATGTAATCCATAAATATAATCATGCGATGCAAGTATAAGCAGATAGCCAAGAACATAAACATATATCACCACTATTTAGGATATTTTGCTTACCAACATTCATTAGTGTACCACATAAAAGCATAAGCACAACGATGTTGTCTTGATTTTTTTTGGACATTAAAATATTCACACCAAAATGATGTCGTTTTGGTATGATACTCACGCCATCAGTCGCTAGTTATGTTATTGTGATGTTAGTAATTTAATGGTGAAGTGCCATTAGGGATGACAACGGGTCGGGTTAGAGTCGACCCAACACGACCCGAAAATATGCATCTTCCACTTGAACCTGATCTGACAAAAAAATTTAATATCCGTTCCGAAAAATATATATTTTCCACCGAATCCGTCCCAACCCAATAAAAATAAGGATTTAATTAAAAAATAATGATTTTTAAAATAAAACTACATTATTATCATCAGGTCGGAGATTTTGCACCATTCACCTGAAATTCAAACCCAATCTGAAATCGCTTTTTAAAAGATTCAACATGATCCGACCCGAACTTGTATTTTTCTTTTAAAAATCCGACCATATCGGATCGGGACGAATTGGAACTCGTCATATTCGAGTTAAATTTTCATCCCCAAGTATGCATCCTCCGCTCGAACCGATCCGGCTCGAAAATTTTATAACCTCTACCCAACTTGAAAAATATATATCCTCCATTGACTCCGACCCGAACCGAACCGAATTTTTAGAGTATAAATCTATCATGACCCGATAAAAAATAAGAATTTAATTAAAAAATAATATTTTTTTAAAGAAAACTACATTATTGTCCTCGAGTCGGGTCGGCTCGAAGTTTATGCACGCTCCAAGCGAATTTGATCCGACCCGACATCCCTACTTAAAAAATCCAACCAGACACAACCAAAACTCGGATTTTTCTTTTAAAAACCTAACCCTATCAGATCGGATCAAGTCAAGTTGAAACCCATCAGATTTAATTTAAATTACCATTCTTTTTTAAGTGTCATAATTAAAATAAAAATAAAAATTCAATATTATAATCGATCAATCGAAACTTTAATGGTATAAACAAATCAACACTCAAGTTTGATGGTATTTTAAATAGTTTTCCCTAGTAATAAATGGTAAAGTTAGGCAGGCCAAGTCTTTTTTTCTCTAAAAATATGGTATAGAGTTCCGAATATTCCGCTGATATTCAACCAGAGTATTAATCACTGTCGAGTTGGCTTCTCCAGGAAGCTTAATTAACAATTTAGTTACATATTCAACTAATTAATGTAAACTTCTTCATCAATGCCTAAAAGACCTGATTTTGCTGACTATATCTCTGACTTCTTCCACTTTGACAAATCAACCACCGTTTCTATTTCTCTCTCTACTTTAATACTTTCTACTTTATTCTTCTCCACTTTAATAAATATAACTTATTTTATATGTAAATTTTTAATTTATAAATTCGTCACTATCTACGTGAGTATTTATCTACAAAAGCACAAATCAATTTATTTTGATAGTTAAAGAAACCTTTATTATTTCTACAAGTTACGAGTTTGGGTACCAACAGATGCAGTAAGGTCATTCAATGTTTATTGTCAAATGATTGAGAATATTTAGAATATATACTATTTTGTAATCACCTTAGTTTAATAAAAAAAATATTTATCTACAAGACACCATATGTACAAAATTTTTCTTAGATGGTCCCCGACTATAGGGTATTGCTTTATTTAGTCCACTGGTTATTAAAAGTTACAACATGATCCTCTGAATATAGGACATTACTTTATTGAGTTATTTGACTATTAAAAGTTATAAAATGGTCACCTAACTATTCACATGTATCAAACTAATCTTTTTTGTTAAAAAATGATGACCATTTGAAATGAACGTAAACATATTGACTAAGATATGATAAAATATGATATCATAATCATTTTAGTTGTATTTTTTGGATCGAATCTCTGTTTATATTATA